CGAAAAAAGGGAAAGAGAAGAAAACGGAGAAAAAAAATCGAAAGACAAGTACGTTTACAACGATGCTTCGTATGTATATTTCTTTGCAATCACTGATGTAAATAAACGCAACAGTTTCAAAACTCTCGGCCGACGTCGACTCGACGTTATCCGCTTTGTTTCCCAGGAACCATCCCCGTCTTTTCGTGTTCGCCAACCTGCGCACCGTTTCATTTTCCGCGGCTGACGGACCGCGAACACTCTGTTCCCCTTTCCTCGAATTTCCTTGCACGTTAACGTCGAATCAGTTTACGATCTAATTGCGAGCCGGGAAAAAGAGAGACGACGGCGACGCTTGAACGGTGAGACAATCGAAATCTTCGACGAGAAAGTTGACAGTTTATATTTAACGCTGTCAGAAAATTCGATATCGTACAATTGCGCGCAGCTCGAGGCTAATAATGGAGACAATACGACGATTAGACAGGCTTCTATTATGCAGAATGAAAGATACCCGCGCGAACTGCAACCGTGACGCGTTGAGCTATCGATGTTAACGGAAATATTCGAATCACTGGTCAGGAAATGTCGATAACGGTATTTGTAATCAGCATTCGCCGACGTTAACGGTCCAGCGTGTCGAATAAACAAGACCACCGGTGTTATCACTCCGAACTTCGTTGCATATTTGCCGTCGCGATAGAGAAATGCGTTCGATACATGAAATTGATGCTGGAAGTCTTCAGGTTTAAAATTCGAGTGCACTTGTACAAATGAATTACGACACACTGGAAATTCTGTTCAAACGTCAAAGGTGACCGAGACCAAAATTGAACAGAATACGAGCCATTTTTCAAATTGATCGAGCAGTCTTTCCAACATCCTTTAGTTACGTTTATAAGCTTGAGCATAGTGCCACGGATGGCGACACTACACAAAGGACAATTCGTCATTTAAATCTGAAATATTGAATCATCGGCAAGTAAGTACTTAAGTTAAATAATTCGGTAGTTGACAGTTCGATTCAGATAGTCTGTTGGTGCATCAGGGCATTATTGACAGTGTCGGTATTTCAGAACAGTTGACAGAAAAATACGTTGTATACACAATTTGTAAGTTTTTTAAATCTGTGCCTTGTCTCTGATTATATTTATACTATATTAGGCTGTATGAAAACTTACATCGATTGTTCAATTTGTCCTATCTTTAGTCGGTAATTGTCAAGTCTCTGTTGATACTGTGTGACGCTCAGAAGATACAGTAGGCGTTCTGTTTGGTAACTATCGGTACGTCAGGTTGCGTGTCCCAATGGCGCAGTATGCTTACTATTCAAGATGGTAACGCGTACCCACGTCCGATGGCAGCACGATGCTTTTTCCGCGTTGCCTAGAACCGTATTTCTTAATAACATTATGTGCATTTAACATTTTATATCGCATATAGTGAACTCTGTATATTTTCGATATTGGCCATAGTTCGAATTATAAATAACGAAATACGAATTTAATATCAAACTAACTTATTAAAATGTAATTTTGATCAAATGGAGTCCTGAATTCTCCATTAAATTTCACCGTTTAATATCGAACCAACTGCATGCAATTCACAACTAGAAATTCGTTGAAATTTGAGCGAAGGCTAATCTGTCGACAGTCCTCGAGATGTCCCGAAAACAGATCATTCCCGTCGCCTAAATAAAACGATTACGAAAGGCACGGAGACAATCGAGGCTCGCATTGCGCAAGAAATACGTCGAGAAAATGTCCACTATCGACGAAGAATTGAAAAGAGAAGAAAACGAAATTGGGCCTGGAGAAACGAAATTGTTGCTCCACTTGGATCGGCCCGTTTCAGGCAGCTGATGCAAGCGTCGATCCCGCTCCTCTCCCGAATCGTTTAACATTATAATGACGAGGGCCCCCGAGAACAGTCGTAACAGGTAGGAACATACTCGGAGACCTGTTGCGAGAGAACGGACCCCCCGCAGCCTGCGTTCGCCGTCAGATGTTATCTTCATCTATCTCGGCCTAGAGGAGCGAGTCGCTCGGATCGACGTCTGATCTCCTCCCGTTCGAGTTGCGCGAAAATATCGCGGTGTCCGCGTAGTCGGCGTTACCATCGCGAGAACACGTCGGGGCCATTTTTTCGGGGACCCGCATACGCGGATGCAGCCCATCGTTTCGTTCGAGAAATTAATGGCCCGACCGGGCGGCCCGAAAACGTCCTCTTCTCGTTTAGAGGAATTCGCTTTCGCGAAATTTCAAGACGTTAGGCACGCACGGAGGACAGAAAATGAGTGAATTTATGGTCCCCGCGGAGAACTAAAATTACTTCGCAACTTGTTCATCGTACTTTTGTTAAGCAATTCCTCGATACGCGTCGACTGATTTTATAACGGAATTTACGGTGCAACGAGAACATAAATTCTCCGGTTTTTTTACCATTGTTTGTTTCATAGGCGTTTGATTTAGTTAAGAGCACTTGAAGCGAGAATAAGTTTCGATTGCAACGGTTTGGTGTCGCCGAATATTATCGCCGATATATCTAACTCATATTTGTTCTGGAATGGTAAACGGCACTTTTCCGAATCATTGGTGTTGAATAATTGCATTTCGTGGGGGCGTGTAAGCCGATCGATTAACAGGTTCCACGGGCTCGCGACACACCGAAATTAATTCCGAGGTATGTTTACTCGATTCTCCGTGGCGGACATTTATTTCTTTCGGCGCTCGGGATCATTAATTATTCAGCGTGCGTGCGTGACGCAAGTCGATCGCGACACACGTTGTCGTCCAGTGTCTAGCAGGTCTTAGCATGCCATTATCGCGCGTGATCATTGTGTTACGAGCTGCCGGGAATTACCCCTGCGTCCCTGATTGTCACGCCGCGATAATCTCTCAATCTGGCGAGATTTCGCTGGTCCAACGGTTTCGTTCCTCCGAATCGTTCGTCGAAATCCTTCTTCTCGAAAGGTTCAACGTATTCCTAAGCGAACGATTTCCGTCTAGTCCCGGTACTTACGAAACGATTAAAATATTAGGGTGAATGTTTATGAAAGTCAGGCGAATTAAAGTATATTATGTAAACATATAGAATCCAGGCACGCCGCACACGCATGTCGGTTACGTAAGGTCGTGCGGGTGTTCGGTTTTATCTGATTGCCTCGGCAGCCGTTTCAAGAAAGTTATGCGACCGTCATTACAACGTGGAAACGTAACAGCAAAAACGAGTATTATAATCGAGAGAACAGACGCATTCGAACCATTTCCTCTCCGTAGGATGTCCGATTCTCCACGTAAAGGCACGATTGGACATTCCTTGGCGAGGCGTTAATTATCATCCCCGCTGTTAAGTGTATTGTCACGCAACGCTTCTGTAACGGCCGGTTTATTACGTAAGGTATTAAATTAATAACAAGGAGTAACAATATTTCACGCATTCGCGGATTGATAGATCTAACATTATTCTCGGCCGAGATGCTTTCTCGCGAGCTGTTCATTCACGAATCCGCGATTTCGAGTCGGAAGATTGACAAGTGAAACAGATTCTTTTCTCCATTGTACGGCAGACGGAAGGCTGCTGGAAAAATATACTTTCCGCCGCGAACACCTGATACCGGGCAACCACCTTTCACCGTTGCACGTCGGGTGAACTGCTCTTTTTAGTCGTACGAAAATCATACAAATTCAGCCTGGTAGATACGTAATCGTTCAATTGGTTTTCTAAGGAAACGATGCGTGATGTTATCTGTCTTATAACTATCCGACTCATCGGTCCAATGAAAAACATCCGCCGTGATTAAATTCGGCGATCGGAAGACGAAACGAGTTTTCCCTGGAACGGCAGGAAGATTAGAATCCCCGAACAGGGAACACAGCGGAGCGCACGGAAAGCTCCCCGCCAAGAGCAACGAGACTGCGGCGACAAGATCGTTAGGAAGAAATTACCGTGGCGTAGTCGTAAAGCACGGGGCTGGTTTAATTACACACAGTGTCGTGGTCACCGTGAACGTTCACTGTCGCAACCGCGAGTGCCAATAAACCCGCCGGGGGAAATCTTTGTTAAAAGATCGAGCCGTGAACCAGATAAATCTCAATACAAAGTCAATTATAGTTGGCAGCTATGGCCGACGCGGTGGGCGTGAATAGGCCGGGCGACGCGCGTTTGCATCACACGCACACGACCGTGGCCCCCGTTGATTTACAAATTCTAGGGAAGTTGGGAAACCGCCGCCGGTTGACTGACAGCCCCGCCGCCATTACGGCCGTCTCCGCTCGCCCCTAACTGCCCCATAAACGGATATTTATCAGCGGGCCCGAGCGCGTTACCCGTTTAGATGGACAGCGAATTAGGCCGGAGTTGCGAGGCGTTCTCTCGACTAGCGATTCTTTCGTCGCGAAGAAACAACTGGAATTGGATTTTCTTGGGAAATATTCGCGGCTAATGACACCTGAGAATGTTCCTTGCTTTTGACTGGATTTATCTTACCGCGAATGGAGACAGATCTATGATCTTGTTTGCCGCCATGCGCGCGGGGAATCCGGCGGAACAACTCGCTTCATTTTCAACGTTGTGTTCTTTGGATCGTACGAGGTTTAGAGATTGTTTTTCGTCGTGTTCGAAGTTGACGTTTCGATCAACGAATAATGAAATATTTCTGTTTCGATCGTGGGCACGAGTGTAGTTGGATTACGGGGTAGCCGGATTGCCAGGGCGATTCGAGTTGGACGAACAGGTAAAGACAATTAGATTCTCCGCGGAGAATGGAGATTGAATGATGATACAACGAGGGCTCGGAGTAGCTC